TACAATCATGAGGCATTGAGACAAAGTAACAACATTATTTTGTTTGTTACAGTAATGTAATTTGTGAAAATTGTATTTTTATTGCAGTTCCATAAAACGCAATTTTTATGTTATTCAATTCAGGATACTAGTAACAGAAAAATGCCACATCAGTAATATTGTATCATTCTTTCATCCTTAATTGCTATGTCACCAGCATACAATTTGAGATATGACATCATATCTACACAAGAGGAACCAACGGTAAAACCGTTATAAAATGACAACAATGGCGACATTCGCCAAAACACAACAACCATGTTTAAAAAACAGGCCAGTTAATCTAACATTTTTAAAGTTAATCCTGATATTGATCACTGTAAAATGAATAAATTTTGATTATTTTTATTTATAAGTAGGCTTCTTCCATAATGTACTTTGCGACAAGCTGTGAATATTCCATATGTAATGAAGAAGCATCATGTGAAGAAACAGTCGTCTACATCGCCGCTAATTTTACAATTGGTGTACACGTGTGGGAGTTGTTTGGTTGATCGAATACTCGCTGGTAATAATGCAGCAAATCCCCCCTTTCATTTGTACTCGTATCAAAACCGCCAAGAACAAAAGTGGAAAGGTGGCAAACCTTTTACGGGCAATGCTAACAAGGGTTCGAGGTTCGTCCCACGTTACGTTGTTCATGGAAGATCGCCTTCCTCTTCTCATAAGGATATCCATATTTCCATCGTCTGCGGCGCTGTCTTTGCGGGCTTCGCAGAACGCGATAAAGACGCCCTGATGGAATATGAGCGCTGGTATCCTACATTGAAATAAAAAAGAGCCCAAATTTATGACGCAGATGATAATCAGTACGGTCGTTCTTATATAATTTAAGTCAACTTTGTTAACATTCTTAAAACAAAACACTTAATTTCTGCTAATTTTGATTAAGAAAAATAGCAAATAGGAAATTATACACTTTTTTAATCAAAAATTATCAAAAAATATAGAAAATACGTAAAATAGGCACAAATTTGCACCAACATTGTTTATATTACGATAG